TTTTTTTGTAGAATTAATTTGGATAAAATACACAACAGAAATTATGACAAACGTTAACGGTTAAGGCTACGTGACAAAAAGCAGAACTTTTTAAACTCGGTTATGGCTTTTATGCAAGACTATAGATGTTTTCTCTGCTTGGAAGATAGAAGAGACCAATGAGCGATTTGTTGTACAACATCTGGTAACCACAGTGTACATGTGTGTACCTGTGTATGTGTGTGTGTGTGTGTGTGTGTGTGTGTGTGTGTGTGTGTGTGTGGACATGTTTTTGCTACATCGTGGGAACCAGAAAAACGCTGCATCGTGGAGACCAGTATGGATGCTTATTTTGGGTGGGGAGTTTGGTTTAGGAACAAGGTGGGGTTGAGTTTAGGTTAGGTTTTAGAGTCAGGTAGGTGACCTGCGAGGTTAATTTTGGGGGAAATTGTCAGGGTTAGGCTATGAAATTACCAACAAATGAATGGAAGTCAATCCACAGTCCCCACAGGGATATGAAAACAAACCTGTGTGTGTGCTGTTTCTTTTTGAATAAATGTATATCCATTATATTTAACATTAATGAGACACATTCCCTTCCTTGAGGTGCACCATTTTCTATGAGCTTGAATAAATGATTACCTTTTTTGTTGACACTGGTCTGCCAAATTTAAAAACAATACAATTTAAAAAACAGCCACCAACACTCAGTTTTTATACTTTAATGAAAGTTTTTTTTTAATTACAATGTATGCTGTTTCAGACCAGTTCAGAATAAAAGATGTAAAACTCTAAGTGGCTTTTATCATGTATTTTAATCTGAATAAGACATGGAGAGTAGCTCAAAATTTRTTAAGGATAATTGAGATGCATTTTATAGACAGATTTATGGCCATATCCCATTTTCTTTCAACCAAATGACCAATGAATACTTTACTGAACCATAAGAGATAATAAATGGGTCCATGTGGAATTAAAATAAAACAGTTTCTTTCTTTAGTCACGTCCGGGAAATTACTAAAATATATGCAATATTTATTGTACCATTATTCATTATCTGTAAAGACAAACTAATGACACATAACACTCATGTTTGCGTTAATGAGATGGTTCATGTGTTGCCACCAATAAGTAAAATATGCATATCTAGCTGTGCAACTGTGGCATAGTAAATTCATTTGGATGCCTGTTGCTGGATCATTTCTAATGCTGCCTCAGATATGTTCTTGGAGGGTAATCACTCTGTAACCAAATACAATATTTCATAGAAATATAATCGGAGTCATAAATCAATGGAAATGACAAGACAAAAGATAGTGGGGGAGAGACTGAAGCTCTTGTCTGCCTCATGCTGTGACCCYTTTGCAAACAGGACTCTTATTATCCTTTAACTGTTATTCATTAGATTCTATTTTAACACAAATGTTCCCATTTTTGTCTCGTTTCATAACCAGATGATATTGTATAACTTTGTCTGACTCTCTGCGATAAGATCAAATGRGCTGCATGTGTTTCATTATAGTCGTAGAGTGACTTGTGTAGCTAATTGTTTTTGACAATCATCGTTACAGTCTTGCTGCAGAGATTTTGTCGAAAGTTGTTTTC